AGGCCTGATGACTGGTATGAATATTGATATCGGCAAATATATTTTCCGACAGTGCCTCGGAAGAGGAACCTTTCTGCTTCATATTTGATGACTTCCCATTTGTGGTCATGGATAAGCCAGCCATTAAATCATTAACATCAATTTTCTGGTTCTCTTGCTCCAATGGAAGATTAGTACTGGTCCCAAAAATATCAAATAGCTCGGATGCTTTTTTATCTGCAGCAACATGATTGCCATTGGCAGCAAACTTGCCATCAACAGTCATACCAGAAAAGAGATCATCCACATTTTCTTTAGCCTCACCAGCATGAAATGACATGTCTGCAAAAGGGTCATCATCATTTTTCTGTTTGTGGGTGCTGAGTCCAGAATCCATTCCGTCTCCAAGTAAATCATCAATTAGAGGTGGGGCTGGAGTTGGATTTGCTGCATTTTGGTCATTCAGCTTTTCTGTAGAATATTGTGTTCCAAAATAATCGTCTGAATCACCAGTGTCAATCAAGTCCGGCATGCAAACAGAAGAATTGATCTCAGCTTTCACAGACTTTTCTGAGTTATTCACTGAACCACCTCCTTGTTCCACATTCAAAAGGCTCAAAACCTGTTCACAAAGACCAAATCATATAATGCCAATATAGCACCCAGGCCATGAACTCAAATAACAGATTCTGAGCAAGCTAATCAATTGGCATTCATTTATCTAAACATGATTTATTACGCTAAAAATTACATTAAAGAACATGAACTGATGAACATCACACATGTTATAAACTTACAATAAATTCAAGGAATATTAAATTTATACAAGACAAGGGGAAAAAAAAAAAAACACTAAAGTGAAGCATGATATGATATTTCACCTTAAATGCCCCAACATACTGCAAAACCTTGGATTTGACCAGAAGTCCTAAACTGAGCCGTGCCTAATTTTACAAATAAAAGGTAAAAGCATACAAATGAAACTAAAGTACTATCTTTTCTCTGGAAGAATTCTAGTACTCAACTCCGTCTTTCTCTTTTCAAATTTCAAGAAAAAGATTGCACTAAAAAATATCTAAGACACTTCACTCATTCTGCCATTAAGTCAGCTCACTGAACCATGATGGTGACTGCAAAACATTTGCTGCTAATGCTGTGAGTTATGGTTATTAAAACAGAAGTAAAGCAAATAACCACAAACAAATAATTTTATCAACAGGTACGTAGACACTGATAGCTGCTTGTTATTGCATTTTATCTATTTACATAAAAGTGAAATATGGAAGCTACTAAGATTACCTTGGTAGCTTTGTCTCTCAGAGAAGCTTGTGGAGACTCAGAACATCTAACTAAAACATCTTTATTTTCGGTGAAATAAGAGGCTGCAATTGAAAAATGTTCATCGTCCTTTCTCCTCAAAAGGGCCTCAAGTACACATACAGCTTTCATTCGAATCTAATCACCATGCAAATTGAAAAAAAAGGGAACACTAAATTAGCAGTGCATTTAAATCAATGAAACATCATTTTAAGATGTTATGCACCCATTCTGTGGAGAGAAATCAAACTAAACAACATTATATCCAGATGAACGTAAGGGCTCAATCAAGACTTTGCCTAGGAGAAGGCAGAAGAGGTTGTCATTTCATAATTCAATACCAGAAAAAGCATACCTGCCACATTGGAGATTGAAGCTTTGATTCAAGGGCATGACTTAAAGCCAAAGTGTCAAGCTTTGCAGCCCCCATAAGGAAAGCTTGAATGGAATCTCGAGTGGGTTGTAGGCGTACACCACCAGATGTTACGATGGTCTCTAACAGCCTCTCTTCACAAGTTTTGGTCTCTGAACAACTTGATGCAGATCCACCATTACTTGTTTGTGTGTTTAAAACTTTTGAATCCTGCCCCCAAGTTCCACTGCCTTCATTTTTTGAAATCCCAAAACTACCCTGAGCATCATTCCTTAATTCAACTGGTTTGTATCTATCTGAGTACCCTGTCTCTGTGGTCAAAGACCTTCGGAGGGTAGGACTCTTGTAGCTTCCATTATCATTCTTCCCAAGTGAATGGCCCTGGGTGAAACTACTAAGCCCCTGCTTGAGAGAAGCACTTCCAAGGCCAACCACCTCACTAAGAAATGATTTTTTATCTTCTGATGGTGTTTCAAAGTTCGTATTCCCAAATCCTTGTATTCGTTTATTAAGGTCTTCTGCGGGTGCTGGCTTATTGTCCTCTGAGAAAATAGCAGATATAGTTTCTTCAGCTGTGTCTCTCACAGTCTTATTAGGGGCATCCCCCTTCAAAGGATCCAACTGCCCTTTGTAATGTAATAACTGACGCACTGCTACTGAATTTCGTTGCATTTCCCTTCTGAATTCCACACCAGATTTTACCACTGTGTATTTTATCAACCTTAGAGCCTGCAAAATCCAAGAATACAAGTATAACATGTTTAAAAACTTTGAATTCTGGGTAAAATCTTTCCTACACGTTTATTCTTATGAAATATCAATCTATCACCACAACATGCAAATAGCTACTGGAATTAGAAGTAGAGTGCTGAATGAATGTTAGTGCTTATTAGTCACTGGTCTGTTGTTTATTGTATATTGAGGTGAATAACAAATTCCCTCCTTATGGGGATCATCATAGAAAAGTTTCAATAATTATTAAAATCAAAGGAAATGCTAAATCAATACAAGCTTTCAATTTCACTTGTAGAAGCCTCATTCGCAATGAAAAATTTTCACAGGTACGAACCATAAACCAAAAATGACAGAATCATGCAACTTACAATTTTCATTCTACACAACTCAACTTTTGTAGGAAAGACATGGGGGAAAAATGAAAAAAAAAAAAGGAAAAAGAATTTTTAACTGTAAATATTGAAATGCAAATTAGTCATCCTGAATTCCTAAACATATGTAAAGATGTGTCCTCTCAAACTCGATAGATTATAGTGTTAAACTCAGGACATTTAACTGCTTGACTAAGTTGATCTTTTCTTCATTAAGTTTTTAATTTCAACCAAAACATTCCATAGTGAATGTAAACAGATAATCAACAACAAATCACCTTGAAAATTTCCCAAAATAAAAGGGGCTAAAGATATGAAGCAAACTGAATGGGATACCTTCTGCTTGACAACTGGGCTTTTGTGCTCAAGCCGCTTCAAAATAAACTCTGAGACCTCCTTCACTATGCTAACATGCGAAGATCGCAAAAGCTCGCAGATTTCTTCTAATTTATAGACAGGCGTCACCTTGTCCTCATTAGAAGTTGCCGCATCGATCATCCGCGACCTCCAATACGATTCCACCGCTCTCCTGCTCGAATCCATATCGATGACAAATAAACAAAACCCCAATTTACCAACAATTCCAGTTATCACCAATTCAATCCAAATAAAAAAAACCCCCGATTTTTCCTCTTGAATTCTGATAAAACTGATCTGGGTTATTCAATCGGAATGGATTGAAAAAACTCAAGCCCGCTGAACTGAAGGATCTGGGATGGCGATGCACGGTGATTCTCGTTTGATTGACTGAATCAGGGCTGTTCGGGAAGGGATGAAAGTTTCAAATTTCCGTTGCTTGGATTCAAAGAGATGGGAAAAACACGGAATTGAATTAGAAGGAATTAACGGAATTGAATAAGAGATAGAGAGAGCGTGAAAACGATGAAGAAAGAAAGTAAAGAAGGTTGGACGGATGGACAGGTCAGCGTTTGAGAGTGCAGGTGACTCACCGACGTCTATGGTGCTGCCGCGTTCAGCAGCAGTTAGCAGATTAGTTTTTTTTTTTTTTTTTTACACAGTTAAT